CTCCCCAACCACAAGACACCACCACAGCAGGGAGGGGGAAGCAACCCACAACCACCCCACACCACAGGGAGGGGGAGGAGGAACCATTGGGGGGGGGAGGGGGGGGGGGCCGGCCGAATCGGGATCATATATTCTACAAGTCTTTCATTACTGTAAATTAGTCAAAACCAGCGCTTGGCCAGGCTTCTAGGTTTGGCAATTCTCAATACCCACGGTAGTCAGTAGTGAGTGTTCTTGCCGGGTGCTTCGCAGCATTCTAGAAGCGCTGGCGAGTCCTTGTGTGAACAAGGCGAAGAAAAGAGATGTTCCTTGTGCTACATTGTTACATCAAGGCCACATTACAAACCTGTTTGGTGTCACCGGCTTCATCAGTGCATCAGCTCTACCCCACCCGCCTCTCCCTGACAGGCCAGGCTGCCTCCGAAAACTGTTCAGCCACAGCACCGCTGCAGAAGAGAGGGAGGTAGAGTAAAGCCATGTTTTGCACCCTGAAACTATCTACATCCTGAGTCCGTGAACATGAATACAATGGGTGTGGAAGGGCGGGGCATGCGGAGGGCAGGGTTTGCTGATCCGACGCTACATCGCACCATGCCATGCCGAAGATCAGACAGAACACACCACGTCTGCCCATCTGCAAAATGGCTCTTGTGCCGGCATGGGTAAGGTTTCGACACCGTCTTGATTGCGCTTCCTGAGCTGCTCAGTGCTCTCGCAACGCTCGCTTCGTACTTTTGCGGGTAGCAGCATGTCTTGTTAGACCATCTAAGATAGACACTCGCAAAGCTGCGCGTCCAGTTGATGCCTGCAGGCACGGCAGACGAGGCGTCACAGCACAAACACGCGGTGCAAAGATGCTACATCATGAGCTGCTGCATCGCTTGTCCAGGGAATCAAGTATATGGAGAACACGACCCAAAGGATCGTCTGCTAGTCGAAACTATTATTGTCACTACTGTGACGATACCATGGCATGGACCCATGTTACATCGTTTCCCGACACAACTACGAACAGCTATTCTTGCCTGGCTAGCCTCAGGGATGTTACTGATGATGTGAGGCATGCAGGCCTCGTGGATTTCTCGCTGATGGCCATCACCTCAAGCACACCACCAGCATTTATCAAGTCTGGTAGTCCCTCATCTTGCTCGTTGTACAAACCTGCCTGGTTCCTGGCATCCTGAATCTCAGAACTTTGGCATCTTGATTGGTGTTTGGAACTCGACCACAGGAACTTGCCAAGCAAAGACAGCAAGCAAGCTCCTGCAGCGACTTGGTTGTGGATGACAGCTCCTGCTGCAAATCCTCGCGCACGCGAGCTAAAGATGTCTTAAATCATGACGATCACGCCTGCATGAGCCAACACTTTAATGGTGTACCAGTGCACGCAGCTGCGGCAAGGCTGCAGTGACAAGAACGGCTCGGAGCGTCCTGAACTGCTGCCTCGAGGGCCTGCACTGACTTGGCTTCTGAGGCAAGGCCGTTAGGCGGCTTGGAATTTTGTAATGCTGATTTGGCCTGATATTTTGCAAGCTGTATCTTGCTAAAGGAGGACCATGTCTGCGCTTGACCTTGCAGCGGAAATGCCGAAACCCTGCCTCTCGGTGCCCCAGCTCCCTCTGGAAGTGGGCCTAAGCAGAGCTAACCCTAGCCTAGAACTTTAGCGAATCTTGAGACGAATCTTGAAGTGGCACGATCATTGCTGATGGCTGGCATTGCTCTGAACTTCCAATTGGTCGACCGACTCATTCCTGTCCACGTGTACCCGACCTTCGTCATTTCCAGGTGACAGTGGCAAACCGGTAGAAACGGAGCAAACTTCTCAACAATCTTTTGGACACTTTTGGTCCCGGGAAGGTTTTGCACGAGTCTATCAAGCGATATCAAGCGCATGAGTGGGATCGGCGAACATCTGCACCCGAGCATTGCTAGGCTACTTGTACTTGGTGCCAGCGTCCGCCTCAATAAGCCCATTTCCCGTTCGAGTCATGGCTTGAACCCTCAGAGCGTTGCATGAACTTTGTGCTGCTCGACCACTGCTCTCGTGCTCTGGCTGCACTCGCCGTCTCGAACAGCAGCGTTGGCACCGAGTTCATGGCAATGTAGAGAAGGAAGAGCAGCAACATGTTCCTGCGTGTTCGGGAGTGGAAGGGCGAGCCAGGCGTTTGGATTTGGGATGAGATTGGCCGCCACATCTTTCTACTGCTCTTGGACATCTCTGAAAGCTAAGGTGTGCTGTCCCAACCAGGAGTGCGCGACTCCCCCAGGGACACCATCGCCAGGACGAGAGCCTCAGGAAGGGACAAACAAAACGAAACTTCCAGCCTTTGCTGAGAATGCCTCAGGCACAGGCACTTTTGCAAGCAAGCCTCGTCCGTCGCCCATGGCAGCGAATATGGTCTAGGGCCCATTTAGGCAGCGTGACCGCCCCCCCCCCCGTGCGGGAAATCTTCTTTGCTGATAAGGCTGCTTTCTGAGTGGGAGTGTTGCCTACCCCAAACATACCTAGCACGGTCAGCCAAGCGCTTGGCACTCAGCTTGGGCTTACGTGCGGAACCGGTGCGAGGCCTCAGTGCTCAGCCGTTTCACACAGTACACATAGCAGCATTGTCTTGATGTGTCTGGATGCTCTTAACTGTTGGCTATGTCCGAGGTATGTCAAACTGATGATCACATGCTGGCAAGGTATCGACACCGTGAGTTTCACGACAGCTGCATGAAGCACGAACTTGCAGTCGCCGCACTCAATGTAATGTGAGCCTATCCTCTACATCCGCAGTGTCGAGCGCAGCAGTGTCGCCGAAAAGTTTGGGTGGCTCGTCAGGCTTCAGGCAAGGCACATGTTTACAGTTTGACAGTTCTTCCGGTGCCCACGTTCTGACATGCGCTTGACAGCCACAGCGTTATCTTTTCCGTGTGCTGCTGTCTGCGGAGCTCGTGCTACAGCCACATTCACGTGCGACCACATGCACACAAGCACCATGCAGGCTACGCCGCCTTAGCAGGTGCTCTCATGCGGCCGCTATAGCTCACCACACCTGAGCTCGCACGAAACCAGTGGATACCAGTGGCATTTGTGCAGCATCTTGAATGCACACACACACACGGTCCTGCAAGGATTTTCAACAATTCTGCAGATATTTTGGAAATGTTACCTCCAGGCGTGCAGCCCCGTCAATGCTGCTCGTAAGTGGTATGCTGCTCACTGCCGCATTTCGCGAGCCAAGACGGAGGCATCTTTGCTGCTTGATCCGTTTGCATGGGCTCCCGACTCCGTGATAAGGACGGAGAGGCCTCGTGCAGGTCTGAGATTTGGTCTCCACGACAACAGAAGCAGCGAACCAGTCTGAAGACACCATGATGTCATGCCATGATACCCCATGCTGACTGTCCGATGCATCTGCTCCGAAGCAAACCGAGATCTCGACGCGGTTTGCTGCCGGCACCAACGGCAACATTCTCGATCTTGCGTACCTTAGCCGTTTCCGTGACTCGCTTCCCAACAGCATGGACTGATCTTACCGTCTTTCCGCCAAAAAATAACTTTTCATTGGGGCCCTGGTCTACCAGCAGCGATCTCAGAGGCAGAATCGTACCGTCTCTGAGCTGAGGGCCACAAGCATTGATGCTGGGTCTAATACCTGCGCAGTAGGAAAATCCATGAACACGGATCCACTCCGTCCTCACGCCACCTGGCCAAAAACCACGTGCTTGTTGTCAAGCCAGTCGCACTTGTTCGCCGTGATGAAGAACTGCAAAAGCAATCATGGCTAGCTTTGGTTAAAGAACGAGCCCAGACCAGCCCGACTCAATTAGCATGGATCCAAAATCGAAGGTATCCTTAGTCTGGTCGCCTGCATGCTTGCTCAGAGAAAGCACAGAGATGTTGAAGTGGGATCAGCAACCATTGAGCTCTCTAGGTGGCCCGGCCTGACAGCCGTTGGAGTTCGCACCACTGTTGGCCATCGAAAGCAAGCCTGGCTTGTCGTGCCTGAGGCGCGACAAACCTAACGGTAATTTTGACGTGGAAGCGGAGCAACCGCTTACCGTTTGAGACAGCCAGTGTCTAAGGGCTGAGCTTCAGGACAAAGTTCTCATCGGGGAATCTCTCCCCGAAGATACTCAGACTGCCTGAACAAAAGCGGCGGCAAATCTTCCACCCTTTGACTCAGTCGAGAACCGAGCGGCGCGAACTGGGAAAGTACACACCAGGACACGGTCAAAAATCGCGTGTTTTTTTGCCTTGTCGTCCAGAATCGTCCAGAGCTACGTGGGCATTTGTCTAGGAAGCTCAAGCGTACAGCCTGTTGCAGGGCTACAGGCGCCAAGAAGAGCAAAGCAAAGCCCTGGACCCGGCAGCAGGGGAAAAACAAATGCCGAAGCTCTGAGGTTTCTGCAAGTGGTGCAAAACCAAAAGACTGCTTGCCCCTATTCCACTTGATGGTGAGACCACCAACTGCTACGCAGAGGGAACTGGAGATGGCATCTGGCAGCATATGCCACAAACGCGAATCAGAGATAGCCTACAAAAGTTGCAGCAGATGAAGGACGTGGCTATAAAATCGCTGCCGAGTGCCGAAAACATACTGCTGCAGGGGCTTAGCCCTCGATTGACAGCCAGTCAGTGCCGGAACGCACCCCTTTGCTGGCCCTAAAAAGAATCTGACCCTTGAAAGTCGTCAGCTCGTCTGACTCAGAGTGTCGAGACGCTGGTATGTTTCACTCATGGGGCCGGTGCTAGGTTGAATTAGGTCCCTACTGTTCAAAGCTGAGGCGTCCAGAGACACTCGAATGAGTCGGAAAGAAGGACAATGCCCGGACATTTCCCACCTTGCAGGTGGCGATGCCTTTGTGGAGGATGCAGTTTCACCCGCCCTTCTCTCAGGACTGTGAAGTACCGCAGCTCTCAAGTAAGAGATTTGAAACACTTGCTGAATAGCTGAATTGACGACCCCACAGCAACCTTTCAGCCGACTCTCTGGTATCTAGAACGGGTTCTAGATACTTGAAAAGCGTCTGGCTTCAGGCTGTGCTATGGGGTCCAGAGCCCCCAGGTCTGGTCTTTCGAAATCTCCGACGGTGCACCAAGGTCCCCTCGCAACGGAGTGACACGCACGAGTTCAGGCCTCAGCTCCGGCACCTGCCAGAAACCCCTCAGTTCTGCTCATCGTTCTGCGCCTTCTGAAGATTCTGAACAGGGCTGTTCGCCGCGATCGTTTCTGCTATCTGCGGAGCAGCTAACGGATGCATCGGCTGGAGCAAAGCAGGCCCCTTTGTGATCACCACTCGGTCCTGGAGACGTCGATTCCGCAGACCGCTTGGCGGTTCAAGTCCCAGAGCTGCTGCCAGCTTGGTAGCCATTGGTTCAGCTTCGCCTTTGGTCCAAACGGTTCCTTTGGTTCAACCACCACTGACAGCCCTACGCTCTGGAGCATGAACCGAAAGTGTCAGGCAGCGCTCGCGTTTATGCATCTGCCCGTGCTCCTGTCTCACGGCAGCTATTACATACATACCATCCACACGATAGACGGCGCCCTTGCCTGTGCCATCACCTTTGACGAAGTCACCGCCCTGGATCATGAAATCCTGCGGAAGCATGGCAATCACAGAATGGACCATACACGACGGACCCAAACTGGTTGACCGTTCGAGGTCAGACCAAAAGAAACAAACGTCTGCATCATCTTAGCTGAGAGCTGACTACTGTCAGCAAAAGTGCGGTGCACTGCGATGCGAGAACTGTGTCATCCATGCCTGCTGTCTGCACTGCTCTCCTTAATGATTCGGTGGTAGGTGCAGTTCTTGTAGCCGATGGGAACCTGGCGAAGCAATTGGACCCTATGCTTCCACGACTGTCGCTGAAATGCATAGCAAGCACGCCTTGTTAAGCTTGAACTCACCAGTGCACAGCTGGCGGAAATTCTCTGCTGTTTTGGGAACCTTGGCCGATTGCTGACTTGAGGTGAAAGACGTGCGCTTGCGAGACCCAAAGGTGAAGCCTTTCAACTGCTATAAAGTACAACTCAGACCGAGCTTGCAGCCACATCTCGGAAGAGCTCCATCTTGATCCGACCGACTGGGTGGCCTCATTGGGAGCAGAATCTAAGGAGATCTGCATGTCGTCTCGGCCGCCTAGCACCTCTCATGCGAGTTCGGCACATGTCAAGCCAGGGCTCGAGTTTAGTGTTCTACGCAGGTCAGGCTGTGGGCTCTTCGGTCACGCTTCTCAAGTCATGCGTGGAGACCTATAGCTGCATGCGTCGCAAGACGTCGCAAGGCAGCAAGCCTCCGATGGAGATGTCGAAGAATACCACAGGGTTGTCAGGATGCCTGCTGCGTCTTGATTGCATCCCGAGATGTGCAGACAAGACACCCTCGAAGCTGCCTCTGCGGTCTGTTCTCTGCCATCTGGCCGGCCATCCTGCAACCACAGCTGGCACTGGACATCACTGGACTACTGCGTCCTGCTTAGCAAAAGCCGTTAAATCGGCAGCGCACATCGATGAATCTGAGATCCGTTGGGGATGTTGTGGCTGCAGCAGCGACGCCAAGCGCAGCCTCGCCTGGAAATGCCGCCGCCGGACCGCCGGACGCTCCCTGGCTTTCAACTGATTCGGACTCCAGCCGTCCGCTTGGGCCCGTCTACCTTTGGCCGAGCACAGGAAGTGGGTGGCCCACAGCTTCCCCAAGGACTCCAGTAATGAAAACAACTCCGTTCCACTTTCGATCAGGATTTTGCGGCAGGAGTTGCCATTTCAGCACTCCGTGGGGGTGAGACACGACGCATGCAAGTTTGGTATACAGCCGGTGCTGTGAGCACATTTGCGCAGGCCGGCTTCAGGATCAGACTTTAGGACTATAAAAAGCTCGTGACCCAGGTAAACCATGAAGATGCTCTGCTCACATTGAGGCCTGTTCTTACCAATGGGGAAGGCCGTCAGGCCCCTGCATACCCTACCGCGTCTCGGTCGTGGGACCCGTGACTTAGAGCACCTTGATGTGCACCTGCAGTCAGCCATCACGTTGTCTAGAAGGGAGAAGCCATCTGATACTTCCCATGGCATCCAATGGCTTAACCTCAGGTCCAACACCTCACCGAGTCATGGCCTTTCTCAACGGAACTGGAGGGCATCCTTCGCCTTTTGCAGGAAGATTGTCTCATCCTGTCAGTCCGATCAGGCATGAGGCTTGCTTGGACATGACAGCTGTGCTTCGGTGAGCCGGATCTTGCACAAGCCTCTCTGACATCCGATGTTCCTATACCACCATCTAACCATCTACGTACCGTCCTTCAACCTGGTTTCGAGTAGAACGGTCTAACACATTCGAGTAACATGTCTGCGTACATGTCGCATCATGCCGATTGCAACCCGGCGTTGCAGGAGGGGCCGGCCCTTGGCTGAGGTCGGTGCGATTTCTGGCGGCAGCTCGATTGCCTCTTTGCGCTTTCGATGACGCTGCTTTGGAGACCCTTTCCATGGCCTCTACATCCTCCTTCTGCTTCTGAGAGTTTGCCAGGGACAACAAGGCTTTCCTGGCCTGGAGTCCAGATACAGATGACACAGTGCAACGGCACACCGAGCTAAACAAAGCAGTCATAGCTCAGCTGCCTGAACCTCACTGATCACGCCCATCTGCATGAGATCCGCAAGATTGAATACTGCCTTGATTTCGGCATCCTTTCGTAGGTCACCAAAAGGGCTGCTTGTGTGCTCCCTACCAAAGCTGACCCGAGACTCCTCGAAGTTGCCTGCTGACGCCCCTTCGCGCTCGCGAAGCTGCAGCTCCTTTGGAGAGCCCGGGCACTTCCCAAATTATCCGGAAGAGGGGGGGGGGTCCAGCGATGCCTGAAGCAGGAAGCCTCTCACATCTCCGGGCTTGTGGAAGCAGAGGGATGCACATAAGTCCTGACTCGAAGATCCCTCCTATCACACGTCAGAATTTGCAGATGCTCTCCACTTTCCATGCCGGCGACACGTTGAAGAGTTCAAGGATCCGGTGCCTTGGCTGTGCCGAATATGGCACGACCAAGATGAGCTCCGATTTATGCATGTAAGTTCACGGCTTTTGGAGGTACTCGTCCGCTTTCTGCAGCTCCTCTCCCATGTCTGTTCCTGGCTGCCGGCCCTCCGTAGCTCTTCCTGGGCATTCCTTGACATCCCGTGGTCTAAACTCCCGGCCTGATTCGTGCGCCACTGACACGTGGTGTCGTGCCGGATATGAGCTGTATACAGCTGCGGTCTCGAAGATTGCTTTTGGACCCATGACTTTCCCTCCTCCCGCTACAGTAATGATTGCTCAATTTCGTCCGTGGCAGCTGCGGTGTGTGGGCTGTTCTGATGTGGTGCAGTGCGAGCACGCTCCTCTTCTATTTCAGAACAACTGGCGCAGGATTCGGTGCATTTGCCTTCTACACATCTGCCAACGGCCCCGTGAGGTTTAGCATGAAACTCTTCGCATGTCGGGGAAACCGCACAGGTGTGTCTTCCGGCGCTCGGGAGCGCTGTAAACGATCAGATAAATCTGCAAGCTAGAAAAAACCCTACGCGCTGCCATCAGGAAGCACTCAAAAAGGCTTTGCCACGTGGCAACACTTCAAAAGCAAATGCGATATGAATCCAACTCCGTGAAACGCAGCAATGTGCTGCTCACTCCAAGTGATCACCTGGGTTGCAGGGTAGATTCGCCCAGTGCACATCTGAGCACACGCCCGGTGAGACCTGAAAGGCTAAGCTTTTCGTCTTTGTCTCTAGTGCGGTGCTGGCGGTGCCGCGTCCTTCAGACTGCTACTCAGCCCTGCACAGGCACTGTGCGCAAGCCGTTCGCGCCCTCGACCAATTGCGTGCAAGTCGCGAACTATGCAAACGGTGAGGCCCTTCGCTTGAGCCACGCAGAACGGAGGAATGCTGCCTTCAGTCGGGAGCACAAGCTTCGAGAACTACACGTGAAAACTGCAGGTGAGAACATGTGCTCCCTGCCGTTGCCGCCCACACCGGGACCCAGGAACAGCATCGAAGCACCCTCAGCCTGATCGGCATGTGGATTCACAAGACCTGACTGCCTTCGCTGGGAGTGCGAAAGCTACGTCATCCTGGCGTCTGTAACGCAAGTACGACTTCGCAGACGGAAATACCAAAGACTCACCTGATGGCTTCCACGACAAGACTGTCTAGCAAACCTGTCGCTCACGATCTACGGTACATGAGTGCAAGAACTGCCCACAGACATCACAGCAGTCTCATCAGCAGACAAACATGCCTGTTTCTGTCACGTCTCTCGCCTATGCAAAAGATCAAATCTGCAACAGCATCAAATGCTGAAGAACATTTCGTCCCTCAGAACCCGACGTCTTCGTGAGCTCTGCATGCAAGCTGGCGGATGACAAGTACGGTATCAAGTGCTCATCATTGTCATGTCACAAAGGCGATGGGAATGTATCGGACATCTCGAGGACACGGTTTCCATGACTCGAGCGCCCTTGTCCACCGATTGTGCACCGGTGTGATGAGCTAAGCCGATGATGAAACACAGGCATAGGGAGCCCGCCTTCCCACATGTTATGGATATTTATGGATAGGCCGAAGAACCCAGTGCAATCGATAGTCATGGTCCGATAGGCTTGGGGAAGGTGAAGAACCGCAGGAACCGTGCTGAGTTAAAATGAGAAGTGACGCATCAGACTTGGAAAACTAAAAGTGTCTCATGCCCCGTTGATCTTCACAGGGTACCTTCTCAGAAGAGCCTTCTATGCAAAGTTCCAACGAATGGGCTTTCTGTTCCGCCTAGGAGCCAGCTCAAGCCTGTGCCAAGCTCCGGATCGAAGGTTCGCGACGACCGTCGTCCTTGCTACCCGTTGAGTGCGTGCTCTGCTCGAGCGGCTCTGCTTGGACTCGCGGAGCCGGTGGAGGAGATAACACCACGCGGCACGTCTTCAGCTGCCGTAGGCGTTGCGCGGTCGGGGGTTCCAAGCCCAAGGCTGCAGTAAGCTTCGACGGCCTGTCCATGGCAAGCCCTTCTCTAACGGGCGCTCCCCCAACTTCGACTTGAGACTTGGCTTCGGAAGGCGGCCGGCACAAGGTGACACTGCATGCACCCCCAAGAAACAGGGACCGGCAACAGGCGACAGGCTGCTATAGAGAGGTGCTGCAGTCGTTGGGTCGTCCCTTTGCCCCTCGACGTCCTGAATCTGCAAACCGGCTTCGGGCCTTGCAGGCTGCCAGGATTCCTGCTTTCACATCACCAGAAGGCTGTGTCACCTTGCCACGGCGGGCGAGAAACATGGGCTCTCGTCCGCTGGAGTGCTTGTTGTGTTGGGATACATACACACGAACGTACGTACAGGCATTCATGCATGCAAATAAACAGACGTGCGGGCAAACAAACATACCTCGAACCGGCCATCTTCACACACATAACTACGTGCATTCAAACTTTAACAGTAACTAGTAGCGTTGCTGCTACGCTTACCATTACAACTTCTAGTGCTTTCTTACGACACCACTACATTGCACATTATTTCCGCTACGACTAGTACTACTACTCCTCGCTGCTCTTTCATCCTACCTGATCCTACCTGCCTGCAGCGGGTCAAGCTGCTGGAATGGTCATGAATATGGTAAGAAAGAGTCTGTCGAGGTGACAAGAGCCTGCATGCTCGTGGATGCAGCTGCCTTGTAGTCAACGGAAATCTCCTTCCCAAGTTTCTGCATCTCTTCTTCCGCTGCTTCCTGGAAGAGGGACAGTGCTTTAGATCAGAATCCCTTTCACAGCCGTTTCCACAGTGTGTTCTCTGCAACCGTGCCTTGATCTGTGCCTGCATGTTCGTGCCTGCCCTGGAAGGCAGATTCGCAAGTGCCGCGAAGGTCTCCTGCCAGGAGGATCCTTCTCCGGCACCCTACGGCCCTACGCCCTGCGCTACAAGCTCTTGCTCCAGAAGCCTCCGTGGCATCCCCGGGGTCGTTCATGGAAGACAACATCATCTCAGGGACGAGCTTGGGGATGTTCAGCGCCACGATCTGCATGCGAAAACTTCTGGTCACCAGAATCTGGTGTCTGCTGGTCAGTTGTCAGTGCATCATCTGCCGTGCGTGACAGTCCGGTGACTCAGCCGGAAACATCTTATTAAGCTGTTCGTCTTGTCTCGTTCATTTTATAGTCCGACACTCGTGTCACCTTCCGAGCCTACGAGGTAGAAACTGAGAGCGTCGGCAGAGTAACCGCAGAGAGAAGTGACTCACCCTTCCGCCTTGTCACCAGGCTGCGCGATATCGATGGCCTTACGCATGGCCTGTTTGGCACCACTGATATCCTGTGTGGCACAGGGATGACGTCGATTCGCGCAGAACCTTCTTCTCGCTTTTTAGCGCGCCTTGATGCTGATGCCCACCATCATCTTGGTGGATCGAGCAATCCTTCCCAAACAGGGCATCTCCAGACTTCAACTCCGGACACAGGCTCTCTCTAGTTGCCGGTCCTAGAGGCAAACATCCTCACCAAACTATCACAGACGGTCTGATCCTACTCTAAGCTCTACATCTGGACTCTGAGCCCAAAGCGAACGCGGCATTTGCTGACGAGGAACAGCACAACGGATGCGTTTACAGCATGTAAGCCGCAGAAGTCATGGCTTTTTCGGACGGGATGGTGAGCGCCGACGACCCAAGTCCACTGTACATGACTGGCAGGCAGACTGCAGGCTGCATGCATTTCTAGGGTTCCCCTATGCTCCCGCCCTATGCCGCCGACACAAAATGCTTAGCCGTCTTCCAGTGTGCCATGCTCTAAATTCCAAATGTGAACCAGCAGGCTTCTCAATGTGCTGGCATGTTTGGGCAGGCATGGGGCATCCGACTAGCAGACTAGCATCCGGGTGATGCCAGGAACAGTGACCACCTGATGCAGATTGCTGGATTCTATCCACCACGCAGTCTAGGATCATCCACATACCCAGTCCTCCGCTTCAGGCAAGCTTGACCCACTAAGCTCAACCGCGAGCACCGTCCACGCAATCCGACAGGAAAATCACACGCCGCTGCCAGGGAATGTCAGGAATCCGAGGAAGCATCCGCATCGCCAAAATACATCCTAAGTCGGTCCAACTCTGATCCACATCGGGTAAACTATACTAGTACGCACTCGAAGACCAGAATAACAGCTGACGGATGTGCTGCCGAAGTTTCGATGGGGCATATGTCATGGACTCGAAAAAGCCCGCTTCACTCCGCTTAGACTTCGGCGGAAGTGATGGCAGCGCTTTCGGGAAAGTCTTCCCACCTTGTCCACCAGCTCCATCTTCATCACTTCTGCCTGCACAAGTCTGGCGCGCGCTGATACATTTTGGCCCCCAAACAACCAAGAAAAGATTGCTTCTTCAGACTTCACCACAGCGACTGTCTGGCAATTCTGGCCTTCCGCGATTGGCGGCAAGCCCATTCTGGTGTCCTGCATCCAATCGTGGGCCAAAGCATCCTCAGCTTTTTGGACGAAAGTCGCTTCTCCACAATGCGGATGCGTCTTCAGGTCGTTAACCACCCTCCACCGGGCAAGCACAAAGCGTATAACCAGCTACCAGCATATTCTTTTGCTGTGTTTGTTGTGCCTGTTGTCATGAAATGTGCTTGGGCATATGTGAGCCTTACAGGCAACCAAGCATCGGCTGTTGTCAATCGTGTGCTTGGGCTCTTGTCCAGCAGGCCCTGCATGAGTGACACCATGAAGCGTGGAGCTTCCACCAAAGGTCACGAAAGCACTAAAGTTACTAAAGCCTTCCAACGTTTTACGCCCGTGTCCCTTCAAGGCCAAGAGCCTTCAGTGTCTTTGGCTCCAAACGCAAATCTCAGCCCTGAGCCCTGAATCAGGGCACCTCCAGGAACTGCTTGGCAACATCCGAGGTGCTATGCCAGGCGTGGGACTCGAAGGACAGCGGGTTCGTGCCTGAATAGCTGGCATCAGCGTGCATGTGTGATGCATACAAACATGCATCTACATACACGTACGGACCAAGGGGCTCCCACTGCTCCACCCACCCAATCGTGCGGAACCTACTCCGGACCTGCTTATTCATCAGGGAGGGGCAGCGGCAGGGGTTCAGCATCAAAACACCCACATCACACGGTTTGGCAAGCAGAACGGAACTTTGGTGAGAGCCCGATTTCCGAAACAAGAGGATGCCAAAACCTCGGATTCAAATTCTTTGGGTACACTATGGTACAGCGCCGGTGTCACAAGGCCGCAGAACCAGCCCTGCGACGGGACTGTGTCGGGAACGTGCTTGCGCAACCACCCGACAACGAGTGGGCCGAGTGCGCGAATCATCGAATCAGAGGTTTTCACGCTGAAGGTGAGGATCGCCTTCGTGCTCACGCACGGTTTGGGGAATCTTGATCGAGCACCGTCGCTTCATGGTGTGCAATGGTCTTGAGAGGAGACCTTTTAAAGATTGTCGCATGTTCCCTTTTATCCCAAAACAGAATCAGCAATAGCCGAGGCTCGGATTGCAACCTTTGGTTGCTTGGCCTCCATGAGCTTGAACGGCACCTCGAGACCTGCACAAACATCAGCTGACAAGCGGTAAACACCTAACGTTGGTGGCATACACTTTCCCACGTCTCGCATTCCTCTTCACGACTTGAGCTCCCCGCTGGTGGCAATGTAGGACACCACCCCAACGCCCCATACCTTGGCAAGACGTGCATGTTTGCAGGCACGGCGAGCTTGCAGTCCTGTGCCAGGGCGCATCAGACGGCGGCCCCGTGTTTCCGTCCCAGACTTCCTCAACTGCCCCCCCGCCGCCGGCAGCCCTTTGAAACCAATAGGCGCAGCCGGGGACGTAAAAAAAGGTGCAACTGAGAAGCCGGTGCCATATAACACGCGGTGCCACAGCGCTTTATTCTCAAGAGGTTTTTCGCCGTCCTGGGAGTGTCTCTAGGCAGCGCCTGCACCTAGAGGGCCTAGATTTAGATGGGCCTAGAGAACAGCTGAATAGCTCACTGTCAGCTCTCTGTTTCGCTCGGCTCTCAACGGGATTCTCAACTCGGCGGTTGGAGTCAGAATCAATCGCGACACGAAGTCTTAACGCAGCCAGGCTTCTCGTCGGTGACAGGTGCCTTCATGACCCAGGCAAGCCCCAGGTCGAAAAGCCTCCGTCTTTTGGGAGAAATGTTGCTTCCAACTTACGCTTCTGTGTTTGCTTCCCGTGGTCTCAGATGAGCCACTTCAGCTCTGGCAGCGGCTGTCCAGCAATGGGAGGCTTGATGAAGCCGAAGTTTTCCGGCTTGATATCCCCTCGAGGCATGGGGCCATGGGGCCATCGGGGATTTCAAGACAGGTCCGACCCGACATGAGGTCCGAAAACTGGAAAGTAGCTAGCAAGGCACGTCACAGCTGCAAGCGAAGAAGTCTCTCCCTGCGGCCCGGGCTGTGGAGCGCGCCGACGGTTCGGTGTAAAAAATGCACAGCCTGCGCGGTGTCAATCATGCTCGCTAAACCCTCTGAAAAAAAACGGAAACCAACCCACTTGCTCTTGTAGACTCTTGTAGACTCCAGTTCTGTCAGGAACGTCTCATCGCATAGTCCGGCACTGCAACGAGCTTGGCCTTGACCATTTGCCTCAGCTTCTGCGACCCTCTCAACTCGAGTGTGCCACCAACCACCGGCCTTTTTTGGGAATGGGCCCGAAGGCTCGATTGTCTATGACCGGATCCACATCAAAAGGCGGTGCACTATCAAATCTTAGTCTCTCGTAGCTGACATGCGTTTTGCGGTGACACGTTTGAGCGAAGTCTTGTGGGCAAAATAATGTGAACAAAACCTTGTGGACGCAGCTGTGTTCGTGAATGAAAGGTTGTGGACAACGCTTTGTGGACAAAGGCTTGCAGACAAAATCTTGCGGACGCAATTTTGTTGACTTAGTGAGGTGGAAAAAGCTTCGGTGACAACGCTTGCGGACCGTCTGGAAAGCCTGTTGGCTCGTTTTCACGTACATAGCACCTGTCGTGCACGCTGTGTCCGGCAAGCGGCGCCAACTCGAGCCCTGCACCGTGCATGCATGAACCAACGACCGGTGGGCCGGAGGCCAAATCATCGAAATGCCGTTAAGGCGAGGAGGGCAGAATGTACTTATCAAGGATGCTCCTGTCCTCAACCTGACCCCCACACCAGGTCACATCCAAATCCCATCGGGCTGAACACGTTTTGGGTCCAACGGCCACCGGCCACAGAAACAGCAAGTAGACTTCGCTCGATCCACAAGCCAGCAACAAGTTCCACAAACTCGTCGTCGGGATTCCTTGTGAAGTCAGGAGGACTGTTTCTCCGCGATCCTTGTCACTGCCAAACCACCCATTCGATGGAAGTCATGCAAAGAAAGTCTGCTGATGTCTGCTGGGTCCGAAAGCTGGAAGGAGATTTCTTCCGGTCGCTCCGACAGTCAAGAAAGCCACGAGCTTCGGTTGAGTCATTGTGAAATCACTCTGGCAGGGAGCAAGCTCCTGCCGGTGCGTAGAAGAAGGGCCATGCCGAAACACACTTTTAGCAACCTTATGCGCTGCTGAACTTCCGCGTTTGTTGTGCTCTTCTGGTGGGATTCTTGGCTTTGCCACTGAACTCATGCTAGAGTCCTTCTGGATACTACGCAACGGCTGAAGATGCTTGTGTCTCAGTTGTGTTTTCCGATTGCAGCAACAAACTGTTTCGAAAAAGAAGAGGTACCGATTTTGTGCAGACGGGGTCCAGCCGCTGCAGGTGCAGAATCAGCGAAGCTGGCTGGCAAGCATGTCTTCACAATAGTAGGTCCAATTTTACCTAGCCAGCTAAGACTCTGTCTGAGGTTATGCACAGCGAGTCTTAGTCCTGTGCTACAGCAAACCATGAACCGAATCTCTTGCCAGCTTCAGGTGCCAAGGTGCTTGACCAGCCCCGCAGCTATTCTCTCTTCAAGCTTGGAAGACCTCTGTGCTAAGAAGTCGAAGAGGTCTGGACCTGGCAAGCGGACTTGAAACATGCCGAAACCCTAAGTGCAAAAGAGCACGGCATCAAACAAAAGCTCCGTGGCTATCAAGTGTGTCGCTTCAGCAAAGCTCAGAACCGCACCTTCAAGCAGCTCCATGACCTTTACCGGTACAGTGTGTGATCGCGTGCAGTTGCGTGCAGTGTCACGCAAGCAGAGTCTGAGGTATGCAAGTGCGCACGAATCGTTTGCACGTGGAGCAGCCACGAATATCACACATGCCTGAGATTCAAGACAGGAGTCCTGCCTGGTACAAAGCCTGCTGTGGATGCACGAAAGCCGCGATGAAGCCAAGAATGCCTTGCAGACTGGACTTCTGACGACTGAGTGGCTTGTCTCGGAGATCATGAACCGAGCATCCAGTCCGACAATCTGAGACCGGTACCGTTGGCGAGTGGCTCGCTGCCAGTCATGCAACGGATGTACTCTAGATGGCGATCAGGCGAAACAGCCAGGAGGCTGTACGCAACCTGAACCCAGGCATGTTGTGCGCTCGCTCGGGGAATTACGCCATTGCACCATCACACTCGGCACATCGTGACGTCTCTTTTTCCAGCCCCGCCAGACCTTTTCAACTTGCGACTCAGAAGACTTGCGGGCGAAGGCATTGCCAGAACTGCGCATAGTGCTTCCTGCCAAACACGGCTGCGTCGCAGGCAAGCTAGCTTTCTTGTCGTCGGTTGCCTTCTGCAGCCTGGGTGCCGAGCAGCTTCCACGGTCGCAACGTGACTCATGGCGGCCGGCTGCAAATTTCTGTCGTCCGAACCAACGTTGAAGCCTGCGATTTGAGGACGCGACGGAAAGTGGCGTGGGGTTTTGCGGGGGACATCGAACTCCGGCGCCTGGGAGTTGCGACTTTTGAGGCGGCTCTTCTCCGAGAAGGGCACGGGTGCATGCCGCCATGGACTCGCCTAAGAGAGCTGAGAGGGCCCCAGAATGTCTGAGACTGAGTTCGGCTCAAAACTGGCCGCAGCGGGAAGCCGCAGCTCCAAAGCGCTATGGTAAGTCAAGGAGCTGTTGCTCTCCACATTGTAGCCGCCCTCCTGGGCCAAGACCACTCTGCCGTCGGCAAGTCCTCGGAAAGCTGCGTAAGTCAGGAATACGTAGATAGCGAAACTGCCAGGCCGATAAACACAAACCGCAAACCATGGCCAGGCGTCCCATGAGCCTCTTGGTTATCTCGTAGAACCCGCTGGGTGTCACAATGCATCCACCTTGAAAAGACGTCACGAGCGGAAGACAGTGCGGGAGTACTAGAATATTGTGCGTTGGGAAGTGTGAAAGCAAGCTACTGTACGTGCTGTCTGTTAACCGCACCGCATGCCGCCCTCCAGTAACGTCATGTTTTAACGACCATGCTTTGCGTGAACAACTCTTTATCGTGTGTCAGACCCTTCTCTTGCTGTATCTTATCAGATCACATCCGCACCGAACGTTTCATGACTTCCGTTGCAACGAAAAACGTCATCTTGTCTCTCATTAGTCTAAACCGCCGAGCAGGCCTTTCGGATCTTTGGGCTGGCGCTGAACTTCTGAAGGCTAGACAGCTGTGCTACAGTAGGAGAGAAAGAGCAACCTTTTGGGCCTCCCGCTGCCTTTGGTCATTGCATGCTGGAGCCCTGGATTGAATCTCCCATCGAATCCCGACGCTCTGGGTGCTCCAGCCAAGGGGATCTCCGGGAGCGGCATCAAAGCCGGCGGAGATGAGGACCAAGTCGGGTGAGAAGGCTTCTGCGATCCTCAAAAGGGCGAAGACGAAAATGTTGCAACTTGGATCAAAGCCTTAAACTAGACGTTAGTGCCTTAGTGAACGCTGAAGCTCGGCAGGAAGAGGCGGTCAAAGGCGTAGAGGAACTCAGCATCCCCGGGCGGTGTCTTACTCTTCTCCACCTCCCAAGGGACGTTCACGGTATAGCCCTCGCCTGTCCATGAAACTGACTTCACAAGTCACATGCCACCTGCGCTACTTTTGTCCGCCCGCGCGCCTTCGCCTACCCCGTGGCTGGTGAAGTTGCCGAGAGGCCCCGTTGGGTAGTACTTGCCACGATCATACCGGTGCACGGAGCAGAAGAGAACCTCTGAGTCTGATACGGAGGCAAAAGGATGTCCACTTCAGGGATTCTCCAATTTCCCTCCACAATCTTCATGGGATATCTTTCATCCCGATGGCTGCAGAGAAGTGGCGGACTCGTCTTCCTCGAACATCTTGTGGGTGCCATTCCCATGGTGGACATCGAAGTCTACGATGAGCGTCTTGGACGACAATCCTGGAAGCTTTGTATTCAGAAGTGCCCTACTTCCAGAATCTGCAATCCCGGGCCTCGTTGTCTTGCCATGGCAGCAGCCAGCCCTACATTGCCAAAGAGGCAGAAACCACGTGCAGCATCGCTCTCTGCATGGTGGCCTCGAGCAAGGACTTGCTCAAGCTCTCTCGCTGACTCTCGCATGAAGTGCAGCGACAAAGCTATGAGGATCTATGAGGAGTCCTGGTGGTCGCACCACGCAGACAGCGCTTTGCACTTTCCCAGCGCAGACCTCCTCTGTGGCACTGAGCACGCTGCCGGCTGCAAGCATGGCGGCCTGCGAAGGGACTTGGTCATTTTGTTTTGAAGGCCTGGAGGCATGTCACATGCGTTTTCGCATGATTCGCATTGCTATCACGGCACAGTACGGCCAAGCCTCGCATTGCACCATGGTTATTCTCAAGCTAAAGCATGCACGACCTGCACCCTAGTCGCTGCAATGCGAGCGGGGTGCTTCCAGAGAGTCTGGGCACAAGAAGATGCTGTCGTACTTCTGACCTGACTAAGCGAAAGTAGGAGACCTACACTGGCCGTGCCAAACGCTGCCCGAAGATGTGTATACCACAGAGCTACGGTAGGCTCGCCGCTGAGCTCAACCGTCTCCTTGCATTGCTACCAGACTGTGTATTGATCTAGCACTCCCCCTGTCATGACGCCATCTGGTTGCATGCGGAGCTCCTTCTCTGACATGTCCGCTATCTGGAACATTGCATCCACATGCTCAGGGGTGTGCTTAAGCTCCAGCTCCTCTCTGGCTGCCTTCCTTAAGTCTGTTTCGTGAGCAATCAAAGTGAGCCCGAAGCAGTGTACATCTGCAGGAAGTCTAAACCGACATAAGCTCGCGATAGCAAACATGTTTTCAAAATGCCAGAAGACCTTGCATCCAGTCGGACACACCGCTGCGTCAGCCCCTCCCGCTCCAAGTATTCGAAGACCTTGAGGATACGAGCTGGCTGCTCTGGATGTGATGGGTCCTGCGCGGAAAGCTATCATGTCCTCGTGGCAGGTTGTGTAATTAGCGAGCAGACGGGGAACCAATGAATGAACATATCAGTTGTTGGGATTATCGGAACGGCTGTTACCAGCATTTCCTCATCAACTTGTTGCGATTCTGGCTGATGGCCCGCACGTCCTCGAGGTTTCGATGCTGCGCCATCCGCTCATCGAAAATCAGGCCGACGACATTATCATTGGCGCTCTTCTCCCCCCCAAAGTCTCAGCACAGCAAGCGCCCGCAATCTCTTGGATCGCAGCTGGGCAAATGTGGAAGACGAGGGTCGAGTCGAGAGGTGCATCGACTGAGACGCAGGCCAAAGAAGCGTCGCTGCACTCTCGTGGTGCCAGGACGCAGCGGGCGCAATTTCCGAGGCCCTGGGGGCCGCAGCTGCGAACAACAAAACCTACACAAAACGTGGAGTTGAGCTCTCAGAGACAAGCTGCGCAGCTTGCAGGCTCCAGCCAGTCCCACGGCTAGTAGCAAGAACTTCTTGCTGGCATGCTCATAGGGGACTGCTCCCAAGCAAGAGCCTGAAACGCAGGTGGCAAGGAACACTCAGCGGCATCAAGTGACTGGCGACACAGAAGAGTCCATTTGCCTGATGCAGTCCGGCACAAACAGGCATGCACGGCAGGCCCACTCGAAGGAAGCAGCGGCACCACGAAGTCCATTGCGTGAATCCGGACGCATGGACTGTCGTACGATACAGAAATCTGGTCGATATCGCTGTCGGAGACATGACTAAAGCAACGATACATTTGCCTGGGTCGCAACATGTAACTTGGGTCGGCAGTTGAACTTGCAAGGCTACTTTTCAACAAGTTGGTGTGGGAGCGTTCGAAGATGTTCGAAGCATAAAGAACTCTGTGAGCCTGGCACTGGCACATGCATGCATGGCACAGAGAGATGCAGTCGCACAGAGTTTCTATCCTGCTGCAGTCAAGGAACTTCCTCAGCAAAGCCACCCTTGCTGGGCTTTCGAGTCATCTTGATCGCCTTAACAATGCAGAATCGCTCGTCAGAATGCGAAATGTATGCGACGGGTCTGGTTGGAATCAAGACGCATAGTACTTGTTCGGCCGCAGCTCCGGAACCTCGGTGCAAATCCGATCTTGCGACTGCCCGGACAAGTCCTGCCTAAACCCTTTTGCAACGGCCTTGTCAGATCTCGACCGGACTGCCTAAACCCTGAACCCATGCGAGCATACAGCCGAGTCACAAGCTTGTGGCCAGCGGGAGTAGGTCTTCCTTTAAAGACCGTTCCAAAGCCGCCTTCGCCCAGTGTACCTTCAAAGCCTTAGAGGACTCTGCAATCTCAACCGCACGCCGCAAGATGTCGCGCAACTGTGCCAAGTCTTGAAGCCAAGTGGCTGAGAAATTCGCTGACATGACCTCATATTCACGGAAGCTAAGCCCAATTCCCCCCCAGCCTTTCAAAGAGTTTCAGCAAGTCTTGGAGACTAGACTGGGCTGATTCTGAGTGGTCATGATCTAAGGTCAAGGCGAGGCGGGATCAGCAGGAAAAGCTTCTCCGGGTTGATCTGCGGTACTTGGGCATGTTTTTGTGGATACTACTCGTCGATGACGCGACAACTGATGAACGTCCACGTGGATCCGCCTCGCGCATCCGCGAGCGGAGGCGCATCACCGCCTCATCGTTGCCGTCTTGGGCTTGGACTTGGAGGAACCTCCGTGGCAGAACGAAGGGACGCTTCCGGTCTTGGACCGGAAACTAGGAGCCCAAGACTCGACCTCGTGCACTACAGTCACTAGATCTTGTTTAAAGGAAACTGCAAGCGGGGAATTTAGGGTATATAGGGCTTGTAGAAGGCTTCTAGAAGGTATATAGACCCTCTACAATGCTCCTGTAACGGTAACTACCCACCTGAAAACGTCCCAGACTTGTCGACTCGCAGATTTTAAGATCTTCAATGTCTCTCGCTCTTTTACTACGAGCCTCAGCTTGCGGCAACACCAACTGCAGGGCCCTCGACTTTCAGCTTGAAGCACAGGCATCGCGTCACACGCCCAAGCAGTGCTACCCCTTCGAGGTCCACGCTTCTTCCGAGCTCTGGGAATCTGCTCGAGGATGGGCCAGGTAAGCTAGATGCACACTAGAGCAAGCCACTCTGAGGTGTCAGTATTATCAGTTGTGTTTTTTGGGGACGGGGGGTTCAGCGTGCTGCCGCAAATCTTGCTAAAGTGAGCCAAAGCTGCAGCATCACGGCTCCACTTAAATCTGGACGGCAGGGCAGTAGGGACATGCCAGAATCAAGGTGTTGACGCAGTCTTCCCGTCAAGCGATCACGACATAAAACGCGGAAGGAAACTTTGGAGATCCTAGCTTCGGAACCTCCCACAGATCTCGCATCATTGGCGAGATCCGAATAATCCGAAACGAGTGTCGACAGTGACTCAAATACCTGGTGGCAGCCATGGGCCGTACGTCGCCTTCAGGGGCAGATTTCAGCCACACTAACATTGCCGGAGCCTCGGAGTCTTCCGGATTCCCTTGATGTGCAAATCCTGGTGCACCCGCCAGAGACAATGTACCATGCACCCCATCTGTGACTACTTCACACAAAGCTTCTATATTCTCCAAGTCAAGGCCCAACGACATCCTCCAGCTACTTCTCACCGAAATACGCCTTGTCGTCGCAGCCACCAGGGCCCTGCACGTCGCATCTTTCGCAATCCGGATCCGAGCAAGGCCGGCAAACCCAGGACTCCTTGCACAGCAGAGCTTCTCCTACTCGATCCACTTGCCGCTTGCGGGTTCTCCTCTGTCGAGTGCCAAGTCCGCTTGGGCAACAAAATTGCCTCGGAACTGAGCTGTCGTAGCTATGTTTGCTAGCTGTCAAGACCAGCACGTGAGACGTGCCGAAAGCATGCGGTAGATTGCGGCAGAAGGGGACTGAAGCGATGCTGGCACTTCTAGTTGCAGGCAGGCTGCTGTCCAGGCCTGTCTACAAGAGATGCGATGACTAAAGTGTAGTAGTAAAAAGTATGACCCTAGCAGCAATGCCTTTGCCTTTGCTCAATCAATGCCTCCTCTCACCTCTCTGTCTTTCAGCCCCCGGAATCAACAATACAAGCACGACAAGACTGCGCCTTCGCACAGCTGTGCTTGTCACAGGATCCAGGTCCAGAGACAGTGCAGCTCATGCACTTGTCCGCACAAGCATGACATGCACCATTCACCAAAACGAAGCCGGCATCGCCTCAGAAAGTATCGTCTCTCGTAAAGCTTACGACGCTTCGATCGGTGCATGTTGCCACATTGCCAGGAAGGAACATTTCTCGCAGGCTGTCGCCACCTTGCACTCAACGCAGCCAGGTCCGCAGACAGCACAGTGTCCAGATGGCGTGATGCCAAAATCCTGCACAGCCCGGCAACACAAAAGGCATCCCACAGCTTAAATACTGAAATAGTTCTGCGAATCTCTCTACAGCCACCACATGAAATATCGGAGGTCCTCCTGGCAGCTATCACCTCGCCACGAGAAGCTTTGCAACACTGCTGAAAAAAACCATGCTGCTTCAGGTCCCCTGCTCTGTTTTGTGGCTTGCGGACTCACTCCTACAACTCTCACTCCGGGACAAGCTTTCCGTTGTTTGGTGCTTTTCGGTGCTATGTTCTGGGCTGATATTCTTCCAAGCCATGCGCCAACCAAAACTGGACTCAATTGGCTTAGGCTGTCCTTCGTCTGGAAATGTATTGATACCGAAGAGAACTAGGGAGGTGGAAGGACTCTTGAGAGCTGCGGATACTGTCCCCGGGAAGTCAGCACCCTCACTATCTTTGCTTCGCTTGGGGCATGAGGCGCCAGCAGTCCTGACACCCCGCGCACGAGGCGCTTCCCTTCCACCCTCTTTGGCGGGAAGGGCTCGGCTGTACTGAGCTAGCTTGCCCCGCCGGATGGGCCCTGCTGCTGCAGCAGCGGCTCTGTTGCTACTCCTGCTGCTACGAGTACTGAGGAACCGTGCAGGCGTCTCTTGACGGAAAGGGCTTCGCTGGTCGTGCAGCGCTTCAACCGAACTCTTGGGCGTTCCTGTCTATAAGCTTTAGCTGCAAGCAAGCCACAGGAATGCTCGGAGATGTCACACACACTGCAGTGCTGCACCCGGCACGGCTTGCAGATCGAACGAGGTCTCCAGGCGAATTGCCTGCGCAACATCACTTGTGAATGAAGCCGGCTCGAAATTCAGTCTCAGGGCAATATTGGACCCAGGGACTCCAATATCCCTTAATTAAGGAATATACCTTAACTTAAATCTTATAAGGGTTCCTATTATGATTTAAAGTATATTCCTTAATTAAGGGATACTTGGAGCCTCTGGGATATTGGATACACAGCACCTAACTGCCTGGGGCCAAGTTACCCGCCCTGAAGTCCGTATCCAGACTGACAGCCTCCCTCGTCGCAGCCATCTCCCTGGCTGTGGGAACGAGGAGAAGACTAAACACAGAAGCCAATCTTTGCGGAGTGCCACGGATTTAGCGCCCGAAAGTGTGCAAACAAGAAAAATCTTGGACGGACAAAGGATGAACGGCCTTGCGATCGTGGCAGTGTATGCAGAAGTCGCCACATGGCTTGCAGTGTCCATCTTCTTGCTTTGCATAGCCGTCCTGCAGCTGCACTCTGCGAGCACTCAAAGCCCAAACTGGCAGGTCAGGCCTTGACCAAGTGGTACATTCAAAGCCTAGCTTGCTCTCATGGGCATGGCCGGTGCCGCTGTCATCACGATCACGACTGCGATGCACTGCATTGCCATCCGTGGAAGTAATGGCAGAAGTGTTGGTCATGCTCGTAGTAGTCGCAGTAGCAATAGCAGTGGCAGTAGCAGCAGCAGCAGCAGGAGCAGCAGGAGCAGGAGCAGCCGCAGCAGCAGCAGCAGCAGGAGGAATAGTACGGCCACAGCGTAGTAGCAGCGGCAGCAAGAGTAGCTCGTCGTAGTCGTAGTCCTCGTCGCAGTAGTAGTAGTAGTAGTAGTAGTAGTAGTAGTAGTAGTAATAGTAGTAGTAGTAGTAGTAGTAGCAGTAGTGGTAGTGGTAGTGGTACTAGTAGTAGTAGTAGTAGTAGTAGTAGTAGTAGTAGTAGTAGTAGTAGTAGTAGTAGTAGTAGTAGTAGTACTCGTCGTCGTAAAAGTAGTAGTAGTAGTAGTAGTAGTAGTAGTAGTAGTA